AAAGCTCTTTTGCTTTTGCTATTTCTAATGTAATATCTTAGTGTGCTTGTGCAAATCCTAGCTCTCGGGGCAAAACTTTTAGAAGGGGAACATGCAGAAAACAACTACTGCATATAGAACTTCACAAAATTGCTAAGGGCAGGACTCAAGCTCTCAGTGCCTAGATTCAAGAACCACAGAAGATTTCCCTAAGCCACCATCTTTTTCCAGTACTGGACTTATAATTGTTTTGGTTTGCAGCACAACTCTAGGGCCATTGCATATGTTCACATGTCATTCTCTGGCCTATTGACTTGGTTTGAACCAAATTTTACTCTGGATAACTTTTAATATTGTTTCCTCAAATTAGCATGGTGCTGGCCCCTAGCTCAGATGAAGTGGTTGAGATCATTTTGAGGAAGCTCTGAGCCATAACTGAATCCCAAATATTATATAGATATTATATATACTGTAACATACTGAAGTCCCGTGATGTAGCTGTGGGGGCTGTACCTTGGTAATCCTTGCTGACCACAGATTTAGACCTCTTACCTGGGTTCAGATCCTCATAATTTACATTGATTAAAAAAAAAAAAAATAAGCAAGTTGCTTTTAGAAAAATCTGTTAAAGAGTATAGTAATTTAAGTCTTTACTATAGTTGTGCTTTTCTCTGATTATAATGAAGTTTAGGGCCCAACCAGTGAAACAGCAGGTACTGAGACAAACTATAGGCTTGTAAATCTATGGGAATAGCAGCAGAGGAGGGATTTGTTACCTAACTCCACCAGGCAAACATGTGACAATTGCAAAGTAGTTATTGGATCTTTGCAGACTTCTTTTGCCTGACATTTGACAGGGGAGAAATGAGAAGCAAAATCAAAGAGTATCCTTGATTCTTTTAGAAGGGTTTGAAGACAGGAGAAAAATAGTAAAACAATAAAGATGTATTGTTCTATTTGTAGGTAGTTCCCACTGCTATTGATGAGAATTATGTGGGCCTGTTGAAAGGAAAATAGATCTGTTAAAGAAGAAAGCAGACTTGGAGAAGGTTATTTGTATATTTCACTCAGGGGAAGGAAAAACAAAAACATGCTGGAAGAAATATAGAAACCACTTATGGTGTTCCATTTCAGTTTTTACGTGGTATTTCAAAGCCTGTCACGCATTCTTCATGTGAATTTAAAACAATCCAGATTTTCTGATACCAAGCAGAGTCAAAATAACTTTACAGAAAAATAAAACTGAAAAAATCCCTGCTTTCATAAAAAAATTAAGATTTCCTTTGTATTGTATACTTGCCATTTGTTTTATTGTTACCAATTTGATAGCAACCCTTGACAATCATCCAGATGCTAGCTTATTGACTTATCTAAATTCTCATTTTATTTTGGATTTCATTCTGTTTTTATTTTGAGGATTGAATACCTTGACTTAAACTTCTTCATCTGCTTTTATAAATCTCTCTAGGTGTAGATGCAATTATGCCTTATGTTCATACCATATGTGTTAAAAAATGCCAGAGTGAATCGCACTATAAGATGGAGCTGTATGTTTCCTGTGTCTCTAGAAGAGAGATTGAAGCCCATGAGTGTCTTTACTTACTGCTCTTTCTGAACCTCAGATTAACTTTTTCAAAACTCTCTGGTGAAGAAATCCCCTGTGCCTTCCATATTCCCTAGCTTTTACTTTGCATGTTAAGAGATCCTCATCCTTCTGTACCTGCTGGGACAGTGGGGAGAGGCATCCTGTCATTATGGCAGATTCTAAAACCTGGGCCAACAGACATAGTCTGTGCCTATTTTGGTTGATAAGAGTTCTTTAGAAGTGTGTAATGTGCAAATTATTTTCTTCATGGACTTGTAAGAAAATAAATGCTCAGCTGAAATGATACCCTCTTAAGCCATTCATACATGCTTCCCAGGGAAGATTAAGATTTCAAAGAAACAAAAAGAGCCATCCACAGCAAGATTTCCACTAAACAGCACAGTAGGAAAGAAAATGCCTTTATAATAGGTACCAACTAGTACCTGCTACTGAAGAGCAGAAGAGAAGAAGCTTCCATTTGCAGTACTTCCTTATTCTAAAGAAGAAACTATTAAACTATTTTAAACCATAAAAACAAATTTTAATGGATGAGATGGTGCTTCATCTGTTAAGCAGCCATAAACTATGATAGTTGAATAGGTAGAGGCTGTGCTGGAATTGTTTAAAGTCAACTGTGATGGCCAGAGTCTCAATTAGTATATAGTTTAGAGTTAGTAACGTAATCCTAATGTGCTGTCTTGGCTATGCATTGAGCCTATTTTAGTCAAATTTCATGATGCTTCTGGATTACAGAGACATGGTAATTCTTTAGTTGCCTTTATTCAACTTTATCGGATCCAGTTTTATAGACAACCAGCCCTGTTGCATTATTTGAATTTCATGTTTATTGAACATATAAGAATATTTACACTTTCCAGGTTTTCTGTATTAAAAAAATAATCTTTTTTTCCTCTCTTATGGCATAACTAGGCAGTAACCGATAGAAGGTGGATGTGTCTATTGCTCTATTGTTTAACTTTATAGATGCTTTAGGAGACTGTTTACGCATCTATTTAATTATAAAAAGGATAATATTTATCTGTTGATTAAGATATGAATACCAGAAGCTAAGGTCACATTGGTTATATGCCATGATTTCAATAGAATTTGTTTACATGAATGCTAGGGGTGTTCAAGTGGGCCCTATTCGATTTGGATTCGGATTTGGCCCGAATCAGGGACAGTGATTCAATTCATTGATTTGTATCACTGTCCCTGATTCGATTTGGCCGAATCCGAATCTGAAGATTTGATGCTGATTCAGAGAATCGGCGATTTGTATGTAGACACATCTTTAAACGTTTTTTCCTACATACCTTGAGGTAGCAGGCGCGGCTCATGATCACTGCAATACTGGGGCTCATAGAGCGTCCCACAGGAGTGCAGGGGGGCCCTCCACATGCTTGGTGGCGAATCTGGAAGTGGACCGGAAGTACTTCTAGGTTCTAGGTTTTATTACAAGCTGGATTCTGAACACAATACTAGAATTCTCACTTTCTTCTAACGCTGATTTCTTTCCATCTCTCATTTTACTTTCAGCAAAAAAGTTAAATGCTCAGAGGATAGAGGATAGAAACCAGCACCAGGTAGTTGGTTTTTTTTAAGGAATAATCATTTTTATTTCATGATGAATAGTCATGTAGCCTGTTAGGTATTGTATGATACAATGTAACAGAAAAACAGTTTCTGAAACTTGTACATGCTTTCAAAAATGCTTGTTTTCAAAAACTATGTATGAGACATTTCAGACAGAATCCTATTTCTCTACGGAAACTTTCTTCCATGTAAGTGGCAGCTTTGGTGCTTACAGTAGGGATGTGTAAGCAAGTGCTTGCTGAGCATGTGCACTAGGTTATACACTGACTGGATAATATATATGTATACATGCCTATTTTGGATGCATTGGTGTGGGTAAGTCATGAAGATGTAACCAGGTGGAGATTTATAACTAACAGATGTTAGCTAACAGCAGAGTGCCTTGCCATGTTATAGCTTCAGTAGCTGAATGTTCAGGACAGGGCTGTCCAACTTAGTGGCTAGGGTCCACACACCATGTAAGCCACATCGGTGGGGGCTACACCAGCAGGGCCATGCTCCCTCTTACCCCCAGTTGCAAGCTTTCCTGGAACCACATGGGCAAGCACCTCCCCCCACCACTACACCACAGGACTGAGGCATGTTGCCCTTCCCTGTCCTGCCCCTTGAGGCGGGGGCAAGAAGTGAAAGCTGAAGAAGGGAGGAGAAGCCAGTAGACACCGGCTGGAGCAGCAGCCAAAGCAATGAGGGGAGCAGTGGCCAGGGGAAGCACAGGGGCTCAAGAATAACACACCAGAAAACTTCCATTTAGATGCACAAAGGGAAATAGAATACTGCCATGTATGACTAGAAATATCTGAAGCACATATAGCATGGAAAGAATATACATATTATTTTTGCCATGATTTTACATCTTTGGTTTATGTTCCTGGTCAGGACAATCATATTCATAGAAATATTGTAACAAAATAGTCTTCAGTATGTCTATTCTTAACTTAAACTATGAAACAGTACTTGTAAAATGAATGGTGATAAACAGTCACGAAAGGGTAGTGTTGCCATAAACATTGAAATTTTATTATGAAAATGCATACTGATGGTGTACTTGATGCTTTCAGCGATTTGTTTAGGGAGAGCTTGTTAGTCTGAAGTTAGGCAATGATTTATCTGTTTTTTGTTGCATTTCTGAGTAAGCAATATCTCCAAATATGAAGCAACTAATAAAACTGTTCTAGTTGATGTCTATGATTTGTTTTGATTTGTTGTGAGATTGACTTTCTTCTGAGAAACTAATTGATTCCATCCATTTTTCAGGTTATACACAAACTTGTAACAGTGGCACATAGCTGAGGTGGCCATATAGCTTGCCTTTTTAAGAAAGAGGGGAGAGTATGCACTTTAAACCCAGGCAATTTAATAAAAATTACATAATTTAATGACTTAATTTGTTATATTTTTTAATGAATTTCTCTTGCCTGTTGTGCAAAAGATCCTCATAAACAGAGGAAGCCGGTTAAGTAGTTGTACAGTAGAAATAGCAGTAGAATGAAATATAACAAAGCAGTCTATTATAAATGATATTAATCATATATTTTGCTTTTGTAGTTGGGAGTAAATTCAAATGTCCCTGTTCAGCATTCAGATGTTAATAATGGTGAAACAGCAAAGAAATGCTATGTAAAACCAAGTAGTAGACAGAATTCAGTTTCCAATGCAAAAGTTCCTAGGATGCTGAATGAGAACAAATTAAAAGATTCAAGATTAAAAGATTAAAAATTAAAAGATGCAAGACTTATTCCAGCAAAGAAATCAGTAACTGGTTCAACATGGACTCCACATATTGAAAAGAGTAAAAATAGCCAGAAATTCAGTAATCACGAGACAAATCTGTCTCTTCTAGATACATCTAAAGGAAAACCTAGTACAAACCACAAAACCCATGATTCTAACTTTGAGTGTAACACTAGGTTCACAGTTGCTAATTCTTCTTCCAAAAGAATAACTGCATCCTCTTTGCATCAGAATAGCAGTCCAGAGAATGTTTGTGAAGTTTCAGAAAAATCCAGCATGCACCAACAGGCAGAAGTGCAACAACGTCCTGACATTAGCGGTAGTATCAGTGCTCACCCCCTTTCAGAAGAAAAGGAAAAGGCTTATAAAAAAAGCACATCTTCAGTAACAATAAAGGAACAGAGAATGAGTTTACAGTACATTGCATTGTCAGTCGCTGTAGAAGAAGTATCTGCAGAGCATTCTGAGACTGACTTAACAGAACCTGATTCTCACTTGGTATTTTCTATGTGCAAAGAAGATGGTGTGCCTCTTGTGAAAGCAAAGGAATGTTTCATGAATCATGATAATGAAGACCATTGTCTTAAGCATACTAAAGAGGACAGCATGATTGAAAAGAGTCTGGATACAGCCAAAAGAATACCCTCAGAACAAATTATTTATTCTAACAACTGTAGCCAACAAATTGAATTTGATACTGATAGAGAAAGAAATAATGAGGAGGAACAAAGTTTATATTCCTCCTTGCCTCTGTCTGAACATATTTCTTCAGAGAGGAACTGGTTACAATCAGGAAACCTAACGCCTTTTTCTGCACAGAAAGCTGTAAAGCTTGCTGAATCAGACTGTGCTTTCCTTTCTGAGCAGTACAGTGTGAATGAGAAACAAAAGATCTATAAACATCTTTCCCAAGATATAAATAACTGTATTGGGCAAACACTTCAAAGAAATACAGAAACACTTTCAGCACATGAAAGTTTAGAGCCCACTAATGGAGGTAGTGTTTTTGAAATGCCTGACAATTATAGCAACAGTATGCCAAGTCATTTTGCTCATCAAATAGATGAGCAGATGGTGATGGTGTTAGGCTCAAAAATTAATGCAGAAAGATGTTACATACAGAAAACGGGAGTTGTAAATAATTCAGAGAGTAACCCATCTACAGCTTTACAGCTAAATGAGAAAGTAGTAATGCAACTGAAAAGAAAAAGACAAGATCTTCAGGAGATCAATCAAGATACAGACTTGTGTTCCACTAGCAGTATGGACAAGAATTCACTTCATCCTTGTGAGCTAACTCAACAAACACAGCAGGAAATTTCCCAGAAATCAGGTACATTTTTATTTTTAAAAAATTCCTTTGGGAATTCGCCATAGGCTTTTACAGTCTATTATAGATCTCTGAGGCTGTAAACAGTAAGGGTGTGCAAAGCAGGCCCTATTCGGATTTGGCCTGAATCAGGGACAGTAATTTGATTCATTGATTCAGATCCCTGTCCATGATTCGATTTGGCCGAATCCAAATCTGAATATTCAATGCTGATTCAGAGAATCAGTGATTCGGGCATAGACACAGCTTTAAAAGTTTTTTCTACATATCTTGAGGTCCCAGCATGACTCATGAATGCTGTGATGCTGGGGCAGATGGAGCATCCCACAGGAGCGTGGTGGGGCCCTCCACATGCTTGGTGGCGAGCCCAGAAGTGGACCAGAAGTACTTCTGGTCCACTTTCGGGTCTGCCAGGGAGTGCATGGGGGGGCCCCCTGCACCCCAGGCTCGGCGATTGGCTGTGGGGGGACCCCAGGTGCCCTCCCCAGATCCAGAAAGCACCAGCTACCAAACCAGGGGGGCACGGGGGCACCCCGCGTGCTCCTCGGTGGACCTGGAAGTGGACCGGAAGTGCTTCTGGTCCACTCCCAGGTCTACTGCTGAGCACTCTGGGGAGCCCCCTGTGCTTCTGTAGGACACTCCAGGCGCCCCAGCGTCACAGCATTCATGAGCCTCTGCTACCTAGAGGTATGTAGAAAAAACATTTAAAGCTGTCTCTATGTCTGAATCTTCCCGAATCTCTCTGAATCAATTCGGAGGGTTCTGATTCTATTCAGAGAGATTAAAGGGTCCTTTGATTCAATTCAGATTTGGAGATTTGGCCACCGAGTCGGGTCAAATCTCTGCCAAATCAAATCAGGGTCTGAAGCTTTGCACAGCCCTAGTAAACAGACATCACATTTAACCCAGGATAAATTCTTTTGTCTTGTGATCCCTCAGATATACTGGTCCACTGTTCCACTTAAAGTTGTTGTGAAGTATGCAGGAGGAAATGTGTTAACATTTTTTTTTCTGGGACACAGCTCCCATAGCTGTGTGCATGTGTACCATTATTGCGCTTTTTCCTCAGACAAGCCAACCATGCTATATGCTCCTCTCT